TTGAGAGTTGAGCACGCACAGCCCCATACGCTACCAGCAAGACGCTTCAGTACATTCGGTCCATCGGAGACTCATTCTGCTATTTTAGCAGTGTGACTTTTCCGTGTTAGCTTTGTGCAAAAGTCATTCCGAGATAAGTGATTTCATTGGTTCTTTCTAGGGTAGTATCCTTGTACCTTAGAAGCGGGTTTATTTCAAACGTCATGCCGAGATAAGTGAACTCATTGGTTTTTAAGGGTAGTATCCTTGTACCTTAGAAGCGGGTTTATGATGTAATGGGCCAAGGAAAAAGTCGCGGGTTTATGCTAAGACGAGGGAGAGGAAATGTTTGGAATGCAGTAGCTGTAATTACCATTCCATTGTTGTCACACCAGTTTGCTAGTAGCATAAGTGATTCCATTGTTGTCGCACCAGTTTGCTAGTAGTTTAAGTTTACAATTTAGGGCACTTTCTGTCCTCTCCTGAGCGTTTATCTCACAGTTTAGGGCACTTTCTGTCCTCTCCTGAGCGTTTTTCTTAGGGGGATCTCCTGAGCGTTTTTCTTAGGGGCGGAATACCATAGCTTTCATGTAAGTGCACAATTTAGGACACTTTCTGTCCTCTCCTTAGCTTTTTTCCTTAGGGGCAATACCATAGCTTTCATGTAAGTGCACAATTTAGGACACTTTCTGTCCTCTCCTTAGCTTTTTTCCTTAGGGGCGGAATACCATAGAACAAGATCATCTGCATAAAGTTTTCACGTAATACCCTAGAACAAGATCATCTGCATAAAGTAAGCACTCCACGCCCGTGACTGTCTGTACCAATTCGGCTATGTCAATGATGAGATCGATGAAGACATTGAAAAGAGTGCAGCTTGTGACAGCTCCCTGTCAACATTGAAAAGAGTGCAGGTTGTGACAGCTCCCTGTGGAAACATTGAAAAGAGTGCATGCTGGGACAGCTCCCTGTGGAAGGCCTGTTTGTAAAAGATTGGATCCTATAAGACATTGAAAAGAGTGCAGCTTGTGACAGCTCCCTGCGCAGCCCGAGTGCAGCTTGTGACAGCTCCCTGTGGAAGGCCCGTTTGTAAAAGATTGGATTTTGATAGAGCATTTCCGTATCTGACTTTAATGATGGAGCATTTCCATATCTGACTTTACACGATCTTTGTTCCCTGTGGACGGCCTGTTTGTAAAAGATTGGATTTTGATTGAGGTCCGTATCTGACTTTACACGATCTTTGTCCAATGAATGCCTGACTTTACATGATCTTTGTCCAATGAATGCTCTTATCCAATTTAGCATGTTATGCTTAATACCAACCTTTACCAATTTTAGAATTAGCTTCTTTCCATACTAAGTCATATCCTGATTTGAAATCGACGAAAACAGCCGTAAGGGTATTTCTTGCATCAAGGGCATCTTTGATGTGTTGGGAGAAAGTGGCTACTTGTTGGTTCGTTGATCTTTGTGGCCTAAAACCTGCTTGTTTACTCCTAAGAATATTTTTAGTCTCAAGGAACCAGGTCAGCCTCCTGTTGACCATTCTTTCCATAAGTTTAGCCAGCACGTTTGTGAGAGAGATAGGCCTATAGTTGTCAAAGTTGCTAGGATCTTTGCCCTTTTTTAGTACTGGTATTACTATGGCAACTTTCCATTGGTTAGGTACGAGACTGGTCTCCCAGATTTTGTTGAAAAGTGTCAGCATGGTTTCCTTGGCTTTTGGTCCCATTCTAATTTGAAATTCCGGATGAATACTGTCTTCGCCAGGAGACTTTTTGCACTTGAGCTGCTTTATCGCAGCATTAAGTTCGCAAGGTTTGAATGGTTGTTAGTACATTATTTGGTGACTTGTTGAAATGTAGTTGTCTTATAGCTATGAACATTTGAATTCATAGTGCTGACAAAACCTGTTTTATTGTCACTCTAGGAGGCTTTTAATCTTGTGTCCTCCTTTAAATACGTACTTATTTTTAAAGGATAAACATAAAATTTCCCATCTATTTAAATTAATATGAATATGTCAATGTATTTGCGCATTAAGAAGTTACCAAATGTATTGTCTCGAAGATTCAAGAACATATGTTCAACAAGTAACTACTTGGAAATTTCAAATTCAAAGGGAAACTTCTAGGTATGATTGGAATTTTAACTTTGTTGTGAGTTTATTGTTGTCTTTAGTAACCTTCCTTCCATCACAAGCGTAATTAATAATTGAATTTTTTATTTTGTTAAAAGTATTTTTATCTAACCATTCCCTAACTAATGACAATTGTTCCGATGTTGTACTACCAGCATTGGTATTCTAGTTATATATTTCCAATGATATATTATCTTACGAGACCAATTTGTGACATTTTTGAAATTCTTTTGATATTGAAACAAAGCCGAATTTTTTATTGTTAATAACAAATTTATATGGCTTTACTAAAACTGTCAATTGACAAAAATGGTATTAACAAACAAATTTTTTTACATAGCGGTAAAATGATATTGAGCGTACACTATATTATTGTAAAGTACAATTAATATAAAGTAAGAATTATAGTGTTTTGATTAATTCATGTCTTTAAAGTGAAAGATGCATTAGGCGGTAAATGAAAGACAATCGCAAGAACTAAGATCTTCACGAACGTCCTTCCAAGATATCTCTTATAGCGTAATATGTATCCCAGATATTCACAAATGCTTAGAATATTGCCAATAGTGAATTTTGAGATGAAATTTCGATAAAAAGTTTTGTGTAACGTAACCATTCAATAGTATTTAGGATTTAAATTTGTGCTAGCTATGATTTTGAAGTTAAACGATAAATACCGAAACAATTTTTACCCGATTTACATGCGATTCAATACACTACAATACTCATAAAAGAACAACTGTAAGAATGAAATAAGATACAGATATATGTTAAAAATGAAATTTTTGCTTTAAGTTGGTAGGGCATTTATTCAATTCAAGTAAAATATTATGACCACATGAGGTGTCTAGCAAAACTAAAGGACTAAAACCTCTTTCAAATACGAAGTGATAGTGTAATAAATAGACCTCCTTAAGAACTTTTTATTAAAACAAGACAATGCTTCGCAAGACAATGCTTGTTTATTTTGTTTTAATTTAAGCCGGAACGTTCGAATAGCCAGATTGGACATCTCAAAACCGGAGAAAGTGCTGGAGAGTTGGGACAACCACTACAAGAATGTTCTACCGGACTGTTTGGCCTCACCTCGATGCCGTGTTGTGCGCTATGAGGACCTTGTGTTGCGACCCAAGGAAAATTTGCGCGGCATCCTCAGTAAGTTCTCTTGAAGTTTAAATTAACTGATTTTTAACGAATTAAATAACACTCCCAACAGCGAGAAAATTAATGCCCCATTTCCTTCAGCCATTGGAAATTTATAAATGTAATGAAACGAGAGGGACTTTGATGATTATCTTTAGTATATCGTTTTGATTTCACCTTACCTATATCCTTTCGCTTTAAGTGAAGAGAACTTAAGGTTTATGCGCAAAATTAAAGCCAACAGAACTTGGTGAAGTAATTAATCTAGAAAAAAATTTATTAAATTTAAATGGAATATTGAAATTAATGTAATACTAAAGAGACAACGAATTCTGAGCAGCAGGGTCTCTAATTCGATTTGATTAATATCTAATTTTAAAATAGATACAATATATACAACTTCAAAGTTGACATAAAATGGATTTGTTTTCGCGTAATTTTGAAAATTGGTTAATAAAGGTCTAGATGGGCCGCAAAAGCATAAATGTTATTTAAAAGAGTTTAATTTATTTTAATATATTGAGAAGAGGAAATTCATATACCTTAGGTCAGATTAAAGCCAATGAGAGTTAAGGTCACTGATTTAGTAATTTAAAAATCTTTACCATGATATGGCTAAACATTTGTTATATCAGAATGATTAACGACTTATTTATAGAGAAAACAAGGGTAGTACAAATTTTCAATCAAATATTTTAGAACAAATAATGTGAGGACGATCGAGTATTTTAAGCGAAATGAAAAGACCAAAGTACTGAATGGTGGCAGGCTTGGGGATGTAACAATTCAAAACATATTTATGAGGAGTTCACTACTCGACTTATCTTTCCTTCGCTTAGTTAGGAAGTGACTATGAAAAATCTTTTCCCTCTCTCACTCTGACAACTAGAACAAAGTCTGCCAGTTCATGTGCACTTAATTAGGTGTTTGTTTCAGCTAAACAAGGTAATTTACAGATGCTTAAGTGCTTCACGTCCTGAAAATATAAATCCACTGTCGGCGATGTATAGCAGTTGTTAACAAGTTGAAAAAGAAATAAACCTCCAGGTGGTCTGAATGTCAATAATTGAACTCAATAGAACCTATTATTGGGCCGTCAAACTACGAAATACGGTTGGCTTTGTATAAACATTCATTATTAATCAGGGAAACAAGTCTGTGCAAGTAATGAATAAATCATTTATTTATTTCAAATGGCAGGCTTTATAATAGTTATTATTAGCACTTTAATTGACTTCGGTCTTCACAGGCGGGAGGGGGGGGGGGAGAACATCAAAATGAGAAAATGTCGATAGGGGGATCAAAAGAGTGGTTCAGAGAAGTAAAAGAGACAGGCAGACACAAAGGGAGAGTAAAGGTAAGATGAGTACTGTGAAAGCGGTTGAATATGACATACAGTGGGTGATGGTAGTTTGAAGTGGAAAGTCAACTACAGGTTTATAGACCTTTTTGCCATATGAGTATACGTTGCCCAGGGTACACCACGTGGAAGTAAGTCTATCGCACACCCCATGAATGAATCATTATCCACCACCATTGCCTTAAAAAGCGACGATTTATTTGATTTGTAGAATGGCTTCAAGTACCTTGGGATGACGTTGTGTTGCAGCACGATCAAAATATGGAAAGTGTATCTTTGTCTAGGTAGGGAACTTGTCTTTATCATTATATTTATATTCATTTGCATTTCGTAATTATTACTAACTATTTATTTAACTTCAAAGCAAAGGAATTTAAAATTTATTCAAATTCATGACTATGTAGATGAATGAAAATATTGAAACCAGTTAATGAATGAAGCTTGAATTATGTTGTTTCTAAGCTTATTTACAATTTTATTTGAAAGATTGAGCTTGCTGCAGCATTCTCCCACTCCCCAGTTCTGTTCATTCGATTGAGCAGTAATTTAATTAGATTATTCATTAGTGCTAATTTGCGACGTTAACAACCAAAGGGCTTCTAATTTATACTCGTTTCACATTAAGGCTATTTGCTTTCGAATAACGTCACGTCATATTTTGGGAATCAATTGGTAAGCAAGATGAATTCCCAATTTGTTTCTGAAACAGGCTTACTTTTAATAACTACTCATTAATTGAGAATTTCTTATAATTATTAAATTGAATCTTTAATTTAAAATCTTGGCTAATGAATATCTACCTCGCGTTGGGTGTTTACCCTGGCTGGTGTACTATGCATGGCCTTAATGAATGGTAGTTCATTCTAAATTGTTTTAAGTCAAATTTATGTCGCTTTACGTTCCTTATCGCCGAATAAATCTCACTAACTTCTACCAGGTCATTGGAAATTTAATTACAGACGCTAACACTCGACTTGTGCTGAGATCCATTCATTGCTTTTATCAATTTCAGTAGCGAAAAAAGCACAAGCCAAGTGGTGTTCCCAATCTACACAGAGGCGTTGGCTGCTTGGTCTCACCCGAACTCAGAAATACCAAGAAGTTTGATTAAGAAGTCCCAGTCTTTCGAAACGATGCGCCAATTCGGATATGCCAATCTTAGCATTCCACCAGTCTACGGAATTCCCGAACCAGAAGTTGAAGAACGTGCACGATTATTGAAACAGAATCAAGAATTCCAAAAACTTTTTAATACCACGGCAGACAAATCCTGATTGGTATTTTTTTATTTTTGTGATATTGCACAAATTATGATACTGAATGTGGGAATAAGGTTTTTTTCATAAAGATGTGTCTTATTTCGTTAAAGCATTTTTCGTTCTCTTTAATTTCTCTTGTTCCAATATATCATGGGCTTTAGTTAATGTGAAAGTAGTTTGAAGACAATAGCCACAAATGATAAAACTATGTTAGCACGCACTGAGATTTCTTTCGTTTGCATTTCCCCCGACAACTCGCCCTAGAATGTATGTGCCGTATAAAGAAATGTGATGACTAGTCACCCAGATTCTGGACCGAAGCCCTTATAATCAACACTAGCCCAGTCTTTTCATTGAAACAGCGATTGGAAGGATATTTAGAGGTAGTCTGGTTGGAATGTAACACATCTTGTTCAATAAGAATAAAGTAACCACAATACAGACAAGTTAAAAGGTGATCTGGAGAGTTTCAGTGTGAAAATGCACTATGTGCCCATTTACACTATAAGAGGATGATCAGAATTACCTCTTTATTCACTTAAAATTAAATTAATGAGTTGACTTGCAAGTTACGCCACCATTATAAATTGGGTTGGTGGATAACCACTGCCTCTTTTAAAGAGACTGGGATTTTTTGGTTGATTGGTAAAACTTGCCATCTCACTGCAAACTAGATTGATTGACCGCATTCGCACTGTATTAATCGTACAATTATTCATTGTGGTGGAATCTAGAATCAAAGCCTATTCCCCCTAACGTATTGATGGTCTTTTAAGGTTGAAGGTGACAGTAGATTAGTTTTTCCCAGTGTCTACTGAAATCAGCCATCATTAAACCACTACGATGAGATCAAGGACGCTTAGTGGCCATTAAAATTGGTAAGACCATTGTGTACCCAAAGTCAACGGGAACAGAGAGATACTGATTAAGTTCGCTCATTTTAACTACACGTGAGACTACGGTTGTAGAATTACTTTGAAGTACAACAATGTCAGATATTCGAACTAGACTGCAGTAAATTAATAAATCCAGAATTGAATGCAATGCGGAATTACTCGACATTGATAAAATATTTGTAGATTAACTATTTCAGTCGACCTAATTTGCAAATGGATTTTACCGTTAATAAAATTTACCCAATTTTTTTTTAATTTTCACCACTCATTAATAAGTGACTTTCAGTGCTGAATATCAAAATAGTATCTGTATTTTGCAATTTAACTAAAAAATTTTTTCCACTTTAATTCCAAATAGTTTCATTCATTAGCAGTGAGAAAGCCCTATCAGACAACAACAAATTAATGTGATTATTATAAACACTCCGACTCTTGTTCAAAATTGCAGTATCCTAAGTAACTAGAATGTCTAAAGTTTGCCACTAAAGCATTAAGAGTGAAATTAATGTGAAATTTTACTTAATTAAATCTATCCCATATGACGAAACTATAAATATTTATATCTTTTAGATAGACCTTGATTGCTCCATGGGAACAGCTTCACGTTCATGGGTAATTTAAATTACTTGATAATTAGAAATATTCAAAGATGTTTTAATTAATCGTTGGTAGTCTATGTAAGAATCGTTTTACCAAATTGTAACAATCACATTTCAAACACCGTATCTGCATCGATCAAGTTAATAAATGAAGCAGAGTACGTCGCGTTCAATACCAGAAGGCGGAAAATACCTATGAACTAATGATAATTTGATTTTTTCCCCTTTAATTTGTGTTAAATTTTTAATAATACCAATTTTTATTAGTTTATTGAATTCTAACCCATAGCTTATTAAAATTGTGTTCTCACAAACTCCAAAATTTGAATTGGATTTAGTCTCAATGATTAGTAGAAAAAACATGTATTTTCGTTCTATTTTGGCCTAAGATAGTATAAAAATCCGATTGAGAGTTAGTTATTACATGACAATTCAAGAAGTATATACAAAATATTTTATACGATATAGATTAAATTTCACATATTCTAAAATCGGCCAATTACTTTCAGTGCTATTTTTACCCGATCAAGGTGAAAACACACCCAGTCTTGAGGTCATGTTAATATACCTTACTGTCTTTGAGCTTCACATGAAAGTCTTGAACTTTGTTTGACAAGAAATTGGAACACTTATTTGCTATGTTATAAAAAGTAATTTGTTAAAATTTATTTCACAGTAGGAGATTTGATATTTAAATGTGTGGATCGGTTTCTCCTACATTGCGGTTGTGAATTTAGAATGTCTGTGTTCTCTCGACTGGAACACTCAATTTCAATTTCAGTCAGCAATAAATTTCTTTGTTTAGAGTTACTTGAAGGGAAAATAATTGTTTTTGTTAACACCCTTATTCAAAACTGGCTATTCAAGTATATTTATGCATAATCATTTTGTACCAAATCACAGGTGTTACTTTTAAATTAGTTATGCTATCAATTTCAGTTCAATTGACCATAGTTATACATTTTAAGCTAGGATTTAGATGGTAATTTAATTGCCGTGTGTAAACTAATGTAAATCAGTGAAGCTAGTTGTTTAGCGATCATCAGGTAGCTACAGAATATTTATATTTTTGATAGTTATCATTAGCCCTTTAGTTGATATCAGGCATCAAAGAGGAAAAGGAACATCAAATTGAAAAAAATCGAGAAGGAGGTGAACAGAGGAGTGTTTCATAGATGTAAAAGAGACAAACACAAAGGTAGATGAAAGGTAAGGTGAGTATAGTAGAAGGGGTCGGATATGACATACAGTGGTAGATTGAACTCAGAAGTCAACTGCCGGTTTATTGACTTTTTGCCGCATGAGTATACGTTGCCCAGGGTGCATCATGTGAAGGTAAGTCCATCGCACAACCTCGGCTTCGAAGATTACATCTACTCATTAGTATGGTTCTAGGCATTTCATGCATACATGGAATAAAATTGGAATTATTCATTGGAATTATTAATTATTACTGTTTCCTTGACCCCTCCCACCTCTTACTCTCTCTAACAGCACTGTCGCTGGATACAAGAACAATTAACTCACTTTAATATCTTCTTTCGTATTCATTACCATAAACTAGTTCGGCACCATTCCTCATTTACTTCAAGGGAATGCTACCAAAACTAAATCAAATTTCGTTTTATGAATTAAGTAATTACTCCAGAATTATACTGCCAATTAGTTTTGTGCATTAAATAGAGTTTTGAGCTTTTCTATTAGAAATGCTGTAACTTTTTTATTCATTTTGCTAATACTTTGTCCATATCACATTTTGATGAGCTAGTGCATTTGAAATTTCTCTGTTATACCTATCACGAATGAAATGTATAAAAATGGACAGTTCTTTCAGGTATCCTTAACACTGAAATAACTTCATGGCTTTTCTTGCGTATGAAGAAATATTCCCAATCGATGCTATTTTAATATTCACTGTGAAACTCCTGTTTTTCATTGGTACATCAAAAGCATTTCTGGTCTATTGACTGGAAAGTAAAAATTTACGAAGTATTTTTTTCCATTGTCTTTATCTTAGCACTCTCATAAATAGATGTATTGAAGGATAAAAAGTAACAAATTACTTTTAATTATATATATGGGAATGCTTTTAGTTTTCAATGTTTTGTCGGGTTCAATTTTGATAGACAATGAATTATTAACTTCTGTTCAACTAGAAAACGAAGTAACTGAAAGCCTTGCCAAGTTAAAATTTTTATATTACTATTAATAATATAATTAATATAAATGAGTTTCATCTAATATGTAAGCATAGAAAGCGATGTGTTAATGGGAAATTTTTTTGCATTCAAGTTGAGTTAATCATTAGAAAGAATCAACTTATATCAATACTTTTTCAAGAAACTTCCTGAGGTGAGAACAAAGCAAAAATATTAAACTTTAGTTTCTTTTTACTGAAAGGCAGAATTGATGAATAAGCTGGTGTCAATAACAGTAAAAGATGTTACGTCTAATAAGAAAACACTCGACTCATGCAGAAATAACGATCACTGATGTCTATGCGAATGGCAAGTTTCAATTTCAATGTCCACACAACACACATCTGTGCCCCATTTTCCTAGGTGAGCATCGAGGCGTAGTTCAGAAATACTCATTACCTATCTCAAATCTTTCAAGGTAAAACACTTACCTTGATGCATATTTATTTATCTATATCAAATGGCGGGCTTTGTGTTAGTTATCATTAACTCTTTTGTTGACTTTGGGCTCCACAGAGGGAAGGACTTTAAAAAGACAAAAAATTTGAGAGGGAGAATAGAAGATTGATTCACAAAGGTAGAGAAAAAGGTAAGGTGAGTACTGTTGAAGTTGTTGGAATTTGATATGCAGTCGGGTCATGATAGTTTGAAGTCAAACGTCAACTATGGGCTTGAACACTTTTTATTGTCGTAGGGGTATACGCTGCCCAGGGTGAACCACGTGGTGACAAGTCCATCGTGCATCCCACCTTAATACATATGAAAATTTTGCATTAATAGCAAATTTCCAATTTCCACTTTTCTTACATTTACTGACTTAATATTCACTTTGTTTGTTAAATTTGTAAAGCAACCTTTAGACTGTTACACATATTCTCTATTAAATATGATCCATTTAACTTTTAAAATAAGTTCTTATTAATATTAATGAGTAATGTCGGAATTCTTATTCCAATATCATTATAAGGTGTCTTAATCAAAATTTTAAAAAAATTGAATTAATTTTAAAAAAATGATTTGAATACAAAAGCGGAATCAATATACATAAAAATGTGTTATAGGTCAAATTAGCTCACAAGGAGATAAGACGCTAGCTCACGCTTGCAGTGCGAAATTACATGTGGCCTACCTATCAATTTTTAAAGTAATACACGGCGCGTCAACGGTAAGTTGTTTAATGATTAATTGAATTGCTATGAATTAGAAATGACAGTTACTTAGGTAATACAGGAGATGTTGACCAAAGATATACAGACTTCCACTTAACCTTTAGTCACACTTACGCGTTTCTCGCAGGAGATTGATGCCGCCGACGTGATGAG